ATTCATTAAAAATACCCTAATTAGTGCACCGTCACAATTTTTGTTGGAGTGGGTCCCTCAACCCCTCAGTAACATATTCCAACCGGAATGGAGTCGGTGCATGCGTGTCTGTGCACCGCCATTTTGTTCACCGGAGGTTGGAAGAAATGAATCTTAAAAAATTAATTAAAAAAACCCTAATTAGTGCACCGTCACAATTTTTGTTTGGAGAGGGTCCCTCAATCCCCTAGGCACATATTCCAAGTGGAATGGAGTCGGTTGATGCATGCGTGTCCGTGCACCACCATTTTGTTCACCGGAAGTTGGGAGAAATGAATCTTAAAAAATTAATTAAAAATACCCTAATTAGTGCACCGTCACAATTTTTGTTGGAGAGGGTCCCTCAACCTCTCAGTAACATATTCCGAGCGGAGTGGAGTCGGTTGGTGCACGCGTGTCCGTGCACCACCATTTTGTTCACCGGAAGTTGGGAGAAATGAATCTTAAAAAATTAATTAAAAATACCCTAATTAGTGCACCGTCACAATTTTTGTTGGAGAGGGTCCCTCAACCTCTCAGTAACATATTCCGAGCGGAGTGGAGTCGGTTGGTGCACGCGTGTCCGTGCACCACCATTTTGTTCACCGGAAGTTGGGAGAAATGAATCTTAAAAAATTAATTAAAAACCCCCTAATTGGCGCACCGCGATAATTTTTATTGGGGAGGGTTCCCCAACCCCCTAGGCACATATTCCAAGTGGAATGGAATCGGTTGATGCATGCGTGTCCGTGCACCCCCACCGCATTCACCGGAAGTTACACAAAATGAATCTTGAAAATTTTATTAAAAATCCCCTAATTGGCCCACCCTCACAATTTTTGTTAGGGAGGGTCCTAACAAAATGGATTGGGTCCCCCAATCCCTCAGTAATATATTCCAAGCGGAATGAAGTCGGTTGGTGCATGCGTGTCCGTGCACCCCCACCGCATTCACCGGAAGTTACACAAAATGAATCTTGAAAATTTTATTAAAAATCCCCTAATTGGCCCACCCTCACAATTTTTGTTAGGGAGGGTCCTAACAAAATGGATTGGGTCCCCCAATCCCTCAGTAATATATTCCAAGCGGAATGAAGTCGGTTGGTGCATGCGTGTCCGTGCACCCCCACCGCATTCACCGGAAGTTACACAAAATGAATCTTAAAAAATTAATTAAAAATACCCTAATTAGTGCACCGTCACAATTTTTGTTGGAGAGGCTCCCCCAATCCCTCAGTAACATATTCCAAGCGGAATAAAGTCGGTTGGTGCATGCGTGTCCGTGCACCCCCACCGCATTCACCGGAAGTTACACAAAATGAATCTTTAAAAATTAATTAAAAATCCCCTAATTAGCGCACCGCGATATTTTTTGTTGGGGAGGGTACTCCAACCTTCTAGCTACATATTCCAAACGGAATGGGGTTGGTTGGTGCATGCGTGTCCGTGCATCACCATTTTGTTCACCGGAAGTTGGGAGAAATGAATCTTAAAAAATTAATTAAAAATACCTTAATAGGTGCACCGCGATAATTTTTGTTGGACAGGGTCCCCTAACCCCTTAGGGACACATTAAAAATAAAATGACATCCATTGGTGTATACGTTTATTGCACCCCTATTGACCGCGTAAAAACTTGATAAAAATAAAAAAAATATCATGAAATTCTTCCTCGAGAAATCATTCCCCACCCTCGTCATACATTAAGAAATAATAGTAACAAAAAAAAAATTGTTCGATTGTTTTTTATCATTTAATTTGTCTGGGAGGAGGTTTAAACTCGTGGCTACCGATGTAGCGTTGAGCGAGCGGCTACGGTGGGGGCCGTACAGTCCGCCTCACAAACTATACCCATCTCCCGCTGAACTGCGCTCGCCAGCTTCAGCCTCATTTTATAATGATTTCGTCAAATTTGGATATTTTTCTAAAATTTCCTTGAAAGTGAATTTTCCGACCATTGCTTCAAATATGATGTTTGAAATTCATTCAGATATACATGAAGTAAGTTTTTCCAATACCGTTCCGTCGAAGTTTGAAGATAATATAGATTGCATCATTCTTTCATTCGAATTATTTACGAATTTTCACAAGAAATCTAACACAAAGAGTAGATATATAAATCAATTGAACAAAATAATTTGAACGATAGATGATAGACAAAAGAAGAAAATGATGTGCAAAGTGACCATTGGGAAGCATATTGTTAATCTATTAACAAAAATATCTATGCTATATGAAGACAAAAGCAATTTCCCACTGGTTTCAGAGCTGACTTGTTCTAGAATATGCTTTAAAATAGTATGTTTCGTTATTCCGGCCGTAAGGCAGCGCTTTACGAATGCTATACACGTTCATAAATTGCTGTCTACGCCCGTTATGACAAAAAAAATATCATTCGACATACGGCCTAAAAAAACTTTTCTAGCTCATATGATTACAACCCTCGCCTTCGGCTCGGGCTGCAAACTCATATTCGCCAGAAATGTTGTTTTCATCGTAATGACGAAAATATTGTGGCCTTGTGGGGAAAACAGCTATTCTACAACCTTTTGGAGGAGAAACTGTCCAAAACCATTTTGTCCCTTGCATACCTTTACCTCTCCAATATTTCAAGAGTTTCCGGGGAAATTTTCAAATTGTTCTATGACATGTTATATTTCCTTAAAAAAAAAGTCGTCTGATATTGTTCTCTGCAACCTCTAGTTCCAAAATATTTGCAAAATAATCTGACCCCCCGAAAATGCTCGAGTCGTCTCCTTTAACCATATCGCAACAGATTTCACCGTTCAATTCGTTTCTCCCCCTCCCCATTCATAAATCTTTATCGATCATTTCATTGTATAGAAAATCCATCTAACAAAGAGGTAGCAGAAGCCCTAGAAGACTACATGGAATCAGAATTCCAAACGGAATTGGAGGATGGTAGTGCGATACAAGTCGCTGAGCAACTGTTGAAATTCCATCGTTACTGTGTCGAGGGAAATGAAGCGGTTGCAGTGACGGAAATGGATAAATTGCCATCTCCGAAGACCTGGATTTTGACACGCGAGGAAATCAGACAACAGGGGAATAATAGACCAGTACCAGTTAATAAACAAACTCATTCTGATAGTGAGGACAATGAGGAGCAGATGGAAGTGCCAGCTAATGATGATTGGGTTGAAGTAAGAACTAAAAGGAAAAAATAAACACAATTTTCACGTTAATAATTCAAGAATCTAATTTATTCATCTATTTGCTTCCTATTAATCCTAAACAGTCTTCCTTTCCTACGAATTGTTCACAATCAACTGCTGATCACAATGGAAAATTTTTAAACATTTAATCCTATTCAGTGAATGAGAATGAATTCATTTCACATTCGCATTGTTGGGAAGTGGAAGTGGGAGTGTACAATATTTATTAGGCTCCCACGCTGTATTCTCGATTTTTTTCTCCTCTTTTTTCTCTGATCCCAGTAGACTTAGTATTACAGGGAGAAATATTAATCCATGGAAAAGACCGAAAACAACGACTGCTGCGAACAACTGAAATAACAATTGTTAAAATAAAACTAAGCAATTAAAAAAGTGAGATAATTGAGAATTCAGTAATTATGGAACTATCTCGCCAATAAGACCTTTCAAGAGGATTTTTCTCACTTGCATTCTTTTGATCGGAAATATTTTCCACTAAAAAAATTTTCTGACTCTTTCCCCTGCAATCACCCGTTCGTTAGATTAACTTACAATCAACAAAAGTAAATGAGTGAAAAAAAAATCATGCGCATATATCTTAAGCAATAGATTTACAGAGAATTGCCCGAAAATCTTCTTCGTAGGAAATCAAATTCTCTACCAAGAAGGTGTTTCCATAATTTTCTCTAAACCCCTTTCGTCCGAAGGTATTTGTGAAACAAATGATCTCCTAAATTCTCATCGAAGAAAACAAACACAAACAACTGAACAATATCATTAAAATATGTGCATAAATTTCCATTGTATCTACCTTGAAAAATGTACTGAAAAGATATTCTTTACTGGCTCCCAACAGCATAAAAGCTAGTAATGTACTCAAACCACCATTGAATACTGCGGGACCTATTAATCCCAGAGTAGCAATTGATCTCTCTGGAAAATCGAAAATATGTTCATTTATTTATTGGCTGGTACGTTCAGTATCATCAATAAATAATAATAAAGTGTACCATTTCTGGTGCCTCCGGCCCTTGTAAATTCTAATCCCACATGTGCTGCATAATCAACAGCCAGTCCGGCGCAGAGTAGAATCATGATGCTCGATGAAATTTCAATAGTTAATCCCACATAATACATTGAGCCCAGTAGATCAATTAATGTAAAGAGTACGCAACAAATTACCCAAAAGGATACGCATAAATCACGCAGTAATAATACGCTTACCAGAGCCACTGCCATGATTTCTAGAATCAGATTTCTAATTAATTCCTCACCAATTATCTGCAATTAAATTGAGAATGTCAGTGATAATTATTTAGAGGGAATTGTATCTAAAGAAAATTGAAGGATTAATTGAACATATTGAATTAGTCATTTGGGAATTATACTTGATTTGCTGTCCAATATACATAATCATGAGCGAAAACTGCTATGTGTCCACTGCCCTTTGAGAATTTAGTGCTGGTGACGATGTCGTGGACTGACTTCATTGCTTGCTCTCGCTCATTTGCGGTAGGTATGGTTACGTGTTGAAGTCCAATTTTAGTTACCTGAATTAATAAAGAAGATATGTTTCATTCTGTAAGGATTCCTGTAGGATGACCTAGGGGAGAATTCGGATATTTCCTATCGGGATTCTTCGCATAGAAAGGGTTAAGAAAAATCTTCCATTTCCCCTTGATGAAGTTCCATGGAGGATTCTCCGTTGAAGAGCCCTTCACCCTGGGAATACTAGTTTTCGTATACTTAACTCCCTCACGTACGGGGCCGATATATCGCATTGACCCATGCGAATGTGAACCGTCGTTTTCAAAATAGATTATTTCCAAATCTATGAAGAATAACTTGACCAGACAACAACATTGGCAACCGCAATACTGTAGCTTCAATTAGATGTCAGTTTTATAATTTTCCATTCATTAGAAATAATGGAATCCTCGATGGTTCTGAACGGATATTGTTAATAATAAAAAAAACTAAATGCTAAATTGTGATTGAAAAAGTGAGAATATTTCTCTTTTTTTTCACAATTTTAGTAAAAAAAAATGGAAAAATTTATTTCTCTTTTATTTGAATGGAGACATGCAACATTTGGTGATTTTCATATTAGACCCTGAATTAAATAATGGTTATTGAGGAGAAGTCTACCCCGGGAAAAAAACTTTTTCGTTTTTCGAGAAAAAAAAAGTTTGAAATACTATTTCCCGCGTGATTTCCTCAGGGAACCGATTTTGTAGGTCAAATTTATATCCGACCGCTAATAATGAGAGATTAAAAATTTTTTTAATCTGTAAATCAACTTGAAAAAAATAGCCAATGTATTTTTCAAAATAGTTTTTTCAATACGATCATAAATTTTTGCTTCTTAATTATGAAAAATGTGAAAGAACATACATTTTTAAGTTAATTGGTCGACCAAAAAGTCGTTATTTTTAATGGACCGATTATGCCCTTGAAAAACTTTTACTCATAAACAGAAATTCCCAGAGTTTTCCATAATATTCCTCGCAATCCCCAACACCTGCAACAAAAAAATACCTCCAAACAATTAATGGGTTAATTAATATCCCGTGGATTCTCGACCGTTAGTTTTCCACCTGAGCGTATATCTCAACTGCAAAAACCACAATTTACCTTGATACCTCTCCTCCAGCCACTCCTCATAGTTCGCAAACCACGAGTTCAAGGTCCGATTGTTTACATAACTATTGTTCTGTAGTGCACTCATCATCTCCCCTAATGCTCCTCTATCTTCACAATAATCGACACCATTAAAATATATATCAGCTCTCCTGCCATAATTCGGAAGATGTGCCGCAAGTTGATCATAAAATTCGATGGTATAAAATTCCTGATTCAAGTACAATAGAGGATCAAAATTCCTGTTGAGTCTGCAGATACCCAAGACATTGAGACCTAGTAATAAACCAGTCAAAGTGATGACGGAGAATCTTACTCTTGGCTTCATCAAGAAGGGTCCAATAAACTCCTGGAAAATCAGTCGCTGAACGCTCCTCTGACTGCACTCGTTGGGCCGCCAATTGGATCTACTCATGCACGAGCATCCATCTTTGTTTAATTCAGCTCGTCTCTCGTCGAGTACAAGACAACTCACAAAGAACATTATTTCGAACATGAATAAAAACAATATTCCCATTGCGGCGAACATACAGAATTTGAGAAATGGCATAACTGTGGTCATTCCAATGGCAAAAGCCACGACATTCGTTAATGATGTTATCGTTATAGACATTCCTGATTGTTCGAGTGCTTTTGCTATGCCCACAGGTAGAGTCAAATCTTTCTCCGTCTCTGTCAAAGTCTCCAGACTCTGGATTATCACAAACATATCGTCAACACCAATCCCAAGGAGTAAAAATGGAAGAATTGGGTGAACAAGTCCATATGAATAGCCCAAGTAAAAACAGACACCGTATGCGGATAATATTGCTTGTCCAGTCACCGAGACACCCAACAGCGACAGATACACTCGCTGCTGGACTTTATTGCACTTGCCAATCATCACCATGACGTAGATGATAATTAACAGGGGACCGCAGAACAGAATTGCCAAGTTGTTTTCCACCACTCGATGCAGGACATCGTGGAAACTTCGTGATGCCAATGCATAGATTCTCATTCCATCGGGCATTGTGCGGTTTGAATGCAAGACTTTTTCGATAAATTTTAATTCCCAGGCTGGTAAGTGTGGGTTTGATTTCTTCAGGAGGAAATTTAATAACGTTGCATTGGCGCCTATGATGTTTCCAGTTACGTCGTAGGAGATGGTTGAGAGTAAAGGTGATATGTCCATTAATATGCCATTATCGTTTTTTCTGGAATTTTCGGAATGAACGAGGGGATTATTTTCTGAGCGGAGAGATCATTTATTTGGGGATGATTAATGACCCTTTTTGGTTGAAATTATTAATCATTTCTCCAGATGAAATAGATGACTTATTTGAAATGCTTCGAGTGACAGAGTGGTGAATCATAATAAGACAATTCACAATTCTTCATTGATCGTCAGATTAAGTCGATGATAAGTGACTTTTTTATAGCTGAAAAATTTTTCACAAAGAAGATTTTTCGTAAAATGATTCAATATCAAGATTATGCAATATTCAGAAGCATGTGGGAAGGAGACTTTTTAAGTTTTACTTCACACCTGAATTGTAATTGCGGTGTTCCACGCTATTTCAACGGCAAATTCGTTTGATTAAGGAATCCGCAAACTTTTGAACATTTATATCTCAATAACTACGCATTTTATGTGGAAAACACAAAAGAGGTTTATTGTCTGGAAAGGATGGTTAGTTATTAAATAAAATATCGCTCGGAAGAAGTAAATATTATTGCAACTTTTTAAATAAACAATTAAAACAACAGTTGTAGTTATGTGAGTTCCACCCTGAAAAATTTGAAAAAAACTCTTTTTTTTTAAGAAAATGAATTTTGGAAGAGAATGGAGCGCTCAAATTGGGCGTCGCACTGAGCGGCGGAGACGTCCCACTTCATTAAAAAATTAATATTTTACGAGCCAGTTAATGTCATTAAGCAAAAATTTGACACAGCGTTCTTAATAGTATTTCTCACAAGATATTTTTTTTCATATTTCTCAGAGTGGAACTCACGAAACTACAACTATTTTTCTAATTGTTAATTTAAAAAATAGCAATAATATTTACTTTTTTTGATCAATCTTTTTTTTAAATAACTAACCATCCTTTCTCTACAATAAAGCCCTTTCGAAATTTTTGGATTAAATGCATAACTTTTAAGACATAAATATTCAAAAGCATGTCTATTCGTTAATCACTGAAATTTTACAGTTGTTATAACTTTAACAAAAAAAATGGGCTGTTAATAGTATCTCTGATCCTCCTTCTGTGATATATGCAATTTTCAAAAAAAAAATTTTTTTGACCCGTTGAAATAGCGTGTAATGCCCCAATTTTAACTTTCAAAAAATAATAAATTGAGGAAGTCGTGGAATGATAATTTGCGAATATTTTCGAGACGAATAGGCTTTTTTTTAGGCCTATCAGCATTTATCGAAAAACCTTTCTTGTAAATTTTGGGATTTTTGTAAAATTTGAGAAACATTTATTCAAGTGTATTCTGTAACCCATTCTAATATGCTAATCTATTTCCAAATATTTTTGCTTCGATTATTGGATCTAGATATTTTGTAGGAAAAATCTCAACGCATTTTTTTTTTGCAATTTGCTATCGAGATAGTCTTCTGTTCAATTATGTTGAACCCCTTGACTTCTGATATATTTTCAAGACAAAACAAAGAAGTATATTACATTTGAATTTATCTTCTTGCACTTCAGTAAACGCAGGAAATTTTAGTATAAAAATCTGATTTCAGATTTCATATTTTGAACTTACATTTCTTTAAGTGCATCAGTCACATCCCTAGATATTCTATCTGCAGTCAAATTGGATGTACCATTCGGCCATAATTTCAATATAGATTGATATATACAAGAGTCTTGTCGCACGAAATCCTTGAAGGAACCAAAAGCGAGCATAGGGTAGTCCTTCTCAAGTTCATCCATCGAGGTAACATTCGAGAACCACGTCATGTACCTATTACATTTATTAAGCGTGTTTCTTAATGATGACTATCGATTTCGATAATAGTTGCTTTCATCCCCACCTGGCGCACACGTCCGACCAGGACTGGCCATTGACTACTATTCCCTTGACTACATCGTCTATCTCGGCTATCTACCATCAACAGAAGTTTCACTTTTTATGGAGAGAGTGAAGTCTGGGGTAATAAATTATTGAAACACATGTATTGGGAACCAATCATTTGAATAAGACGAATATTTTTGTCATTGTCGAGCATCACCCAGAATGTTTTTCAAAAATTCACAGGAGTCAATTCATTGTCACGAATCGTTGTGGTAATTATATATTACAATAACTTGAAAGTATTGTTAGACGAAAAAATCAATTTTCCCTCGTTATTTACAAGTTCACTTTCAGTAACAAGAAAAAATGTACTTTGAACCAAATTAATTTGTTGTTTATAATAAACAATAAATTAATCCAGGAGTGAAGTAAAAACAGGAAGAGCCCTTCTCGAATATCAGTTTTTGAAGAATATTTTAAAATCTGAGAATGAAACTTAAATTGAAAAATCTAGTCCACTTTCTAGGAAATTCTATTGGATTCGTATTGATTTTTTGCTGAATCTACTGCAAGATTTTGCAGATCCTCCGTACGTTTTTTAAATACTAGCATCGCCGCGGCCGCGACGTTGATGCCCATTTATTATGAATTTGCTTTTTTTGTTTCTTTCGAAAATTAATGATTCATCGTCGTTTTAGTCTATTGAGTGTTAAAGTTAATGAAAACAATGCGTCTCGGTTCATTGCTTGTTCAATTTCAATATTTCAATAAGTGATCCACTAATTCTGAGTTTCCGTCCTCACTGAATGAAGTTTTAATTACTATTGTAATCAAAATTATATTCAGAGTGCAAAACAACAATTATCAAATTTCTCACAGTCCATAATTTTTTTGTCTTCGCCTCCCTCTTTATTTCCGTTTACAACTTGACAAAAGTACTCAATTATTTTTCTAGAAAAATTATAGGGTCAATTCTGATGTTCGTTCGCTAATTCGAAGTGTCTTGTCTTCATTCATGATCTTTTTTACAATTTTATTCGACGATGTCATAAACTTGAAACTTTGATGAATCATCTGAAATTTTTTCAAATTTTCTATAATCTTTCGAAATTTATATGAATTTTTTTCAAGAAACTTGAAAATTTTTGTGGAATTGTGGAGGAAATCCGAGGAATTTCCAAATTATTTCTTCTTTTCTCATTTCAATTAATCAGAGTGCAGCATTCGGGCTCACATGACTGCTTCAAATCATTTTTATTTGCAAAATGCCGTCCTTTCCTATCAATTGTTTTCCCATTATTTATTCAACAATCCTCGAATATTTGAGAAATATTGGAAATGCTTTGTAATTTTCAAAAACTCCATGGATTGTCTCTAAGTTCTTCAGAAAACCTCATAATTGTCTTCAATTTTTGAAAAACTCCCGAATTATCTTATATTTGGAAAAAAAATTGACAGTTCTAAATTTTGAAAACCTGCAACCTTCCTCGAAGTTTCTATAATTCATTCCCTATTCACCCCCTTAGAGATGGATTTTGTAACGAAGCTGAAACACGTATTCATTAATTTCTAACAATCACTTGATGAGTGCTCACATAAAAGATAAAACCTACTCAAAAATTTTCATATTATCAGTTTCAATAGCTTCGACTTTTGATGATTATCTTAGTTNAGAGAATCCGATGTTTATAAGAATTTGAAGTTCTATAAGTTTATAGGAATTACTCTTATTGGTGTCATGTGGAGGTTGTCATAACGGCGTCATATAGAGGTCATATGACGGTCATATGGNTCCCTATTCACCCCCTTAGAGATGGATTTTGTAACGAAGCTGAAACACGTATTCATTAATTTCTAACAATCACTTGATGAGTGCTCACATAAAAGATAAAACCTACTCAAAAATTTTCATATTATCAGTTTCAATAGCTTCGACTTTTGATGATTATCTTAGTTAAGCTGAAGGGCTCTCTTTCCATATTTATAACACAATTCCGGCTGCAATGTTCATTATGCCTTTTTTCCCGTCGGACTCAGAATTTCTTTCTTCCATTCATTGTTCATAATCATTCTTATTGCAAAAAGGAGTACGACTGATGAAATNACTTGAGGGGAGATGGAGGTGTTTGGATCAAATTTGGGGCTTATATGAAGACACATGGGGGTCATACGAAGGTCATGTGGGGGTCATATGGAAGTCATAGGAAGGTTATGTGGAGGTCATATAAAGGTCATATGGAAGTCTTATACAGGTCAGAGGGGTCATACAGAAATCGTCTGAAGGTCATATGAGGATAATGGGAGGGGGGGGGTAATTTATAAATCATGTGGGGATTATATTGAAGTCATATGAGGGTTATATGGAAGTCATGG